CTCATAGTCATCTCCCTCTAAGTCTAAAATTTATGGAAGGTTATATCCTACTCTATCGCCGACATAAACTTCAATATTTTATAAAGGAGATGCAAAGTATGGTGCAGTGTTATTATAGGAGAATTCCTTAATTTCATCATAAATTTCAATGTTGATATATGTAAGTATTTCTCACCTCCATTAATTGCTTATATTTTCAGTCTCTATTTCTATCAATAGTAGTAATTTAAAATTATCTTTTTCACTGCTACTAATAAACGACGAGTTATTTGTTAAAATTCCTATTTTAAAGTCACCCAACTGATCTTATTTAATTATATCTAAATCCATTTATGAGTCATCTCCAATAACTATTGTCAATCTTTAGACAAAGCATTCCTCGACCGGTCCTAATTTTATGTAAGGTAATTAGTAATATTTCATATCTGATGATATTTTATGTCTAATTTTAAAATCTTTAATATCTTTTATAATTTTATATTCTTATTAGCACGCATTAGATACATTTAAAGTGAACATGTCCTATGCTAGAATTAATCTATTAGCTGGATCAGCTCCATCTGCTATTTAATAAGTAATATTAAAGTAAAAGAGACCGATCTACTCTATTTCAATAAACAAAGCAGAAATATTTGCTATCATTAATGCATTTTAGCTTTAATTGAAAAATCTTAAAAATCCTACAATTTCTTCATCATCATTAATGATCTCAACAATATATTGTCTTTTTATGCTTCCTTGACTGCAATCATTGGCAAAAACAAAACTTGAAAAATAAATTTAACATTAAGTTCCCAGATAGCAATCAATGATTGAGGGCAAATTATTAGGTATTCTTACCTATTTAACAGTTAATACTGAGAACTTATGATTATTTTCACCGAATAAACTTTAGTTTTACCATATTCTTAAATAGGGCAAAATAGTTTAATTTTCTTAAATTTTTGGTCTTAATATTGGGTCTTAGCTAACAAAAAAACCAGACCCACTAAATGAGGATTGTTATGATAAATAATTGTAAATTTAATTCATTCCATAGTCTTAGTTTCCAGTGATGCTAAAGTAAGTATTGCTATTAAGTAAAGCAAAGTATGCTCTTTATTGATTATCAGTAGCAAAAATATTTCCAAGATGAAAGAAGTCATTAATATCGTTGCTAATATACTTAAAGTATTTGGGATTTACAGTATGTTTTTGAATGTTAAAATATTCGTAGATGGCATTATCAAATGGTGTTATTTTGTCAAAAGGATCTTTTTTTATCTTAGCAATTATAATTTTAACTTCATTTTCTAATACAGAGCTATAGACAATCTAGATATCATCTCTCTTTGCTACACTTAAACCTAGACATTAAAAGCTTCTTAAAGTTTCAGCCGGTTTCCTGTATATTACCATTAAATTTTCAGTAAAATACTAATGAATAATCATTCCTAGTAGAGGTTTATTCTTAGCTTAACTTTCTAAACATCCTACAATATAGTCTTGACCTTCTTCCATTTAAGGAATAATAGCGTCGTAATTCACTAATGTACTTGCATTATACTATATATATATACCAGACATAATTGGCTAGTCTTTATTGAATCCAACAACAAAGATTGCAAATTATTGATCTTAAGTGATTTATGTTCCCATTAATAATACAAGATCTGAACTCTAATGAATAAACATAGAATTATAGATTGAGTTGATTTATTCAATATTCTGCAGTATTGCAATTTCTGACAAATCATTTGCTATAACACAAAATACTCCTAGTTCATTAAGATCAGTATAAAGTATATAGATGTCTCCAGTTAAATCTCTCACTCCTAAGATGTTTGGTGAAACTTGAGAGACCATAGCTACATTTGATATTTAGGCAGTCTATAAAATTTATCCTTGCAAATTTTATCTAATAATCAGATAGTTACCCTCTATTAAATGAGAAGTTTACTAAATTATTTCAGATCTAATCAACGTGATGATATTAGATTATTATTGAAAATGTATTGCTTCTACCTATAATAATTTCACAGTTGATTGATTGGCTTTGTAGTTATATGAATTAAGCCACATAAACCCATTCACAGTATTTCTATAATTAAATAATCCAATAATTTGATCATTTCCAAAGGTCCCTCCAATAGCAAAGTAGTTTAAATTATTTTCAAAATCTAAAACTGTAAAAATTGAATTCGTTGACTATTTATCATCCAGTTCAATTGGTAGCTATTTAAGTCCAAAGCATTATTGCTCTGCGATTCTATATTTCAATCATTATAAATTCACCGTAGAGATCACTTATTGCTAAGTAACTCAGATTAAAATATATAGAACTGAGATAATTATTATCTGGCTGAAAGGCAATTTAAGATAGTCACTATGGATCATTAATCATCTTTATCTCAATTGGTAAGTCTCCTGTAATGATTTTGAGAATTGTAGTATTTCTAAACAGATTTACCAATTATCTAATTTTAAAGAACTCAAATGGTTTAAATTCTTATAGTTAGCATCAATCGAAGTATTGGGGAACATAAAGATATGATGTTCTAAATTTCTTAAATAAAAATCCAGAATTAAATTTGAGTGGTTCAAAATGTTAGTGAAAAATGCAAATACTTACAAGTATATAGCAATTAAAAAAAGACAAGCTAAATTTTTTCTACCTTTTCCTCTATTTATCAGCATTTTGATTAATATTATTTAAACGATTTTATTGCTTATTAATATCAATGGCATAATGCACAGTTTCATATTAATTCTAATTTTAGATTAAATCTACTCTTCAACATAACTTAAATTCCACTATTGGGGTTTTGGGGTTTTGGGGTTTTGGGG